CGTCATCACTTCCACCAGTATACTGAGATTAGCCCTACTATACCTCAATAACATGTTCGTCCTCCCCTCTTTCCTGCTAGGCACACTATTCTGATCACCATACACGTGTGAGTCTCCGCCGGCAAGAACTCGCTACTCCTTTTAGATAAAAAACTAAAATTTTATAAATAAATTATAATATTTGCAAGAAAACTATTTTTCCAGAAAAAAATGTTCACTCACCTTGCCCCGCCCCTTCTTTATCTGTTATGGTTTCTTATTTTCGACAAGTTATTTTATAATCCAAAGCATTTGGAAAATTTTGCGAAATTCACAGCGACATTTACAACGACAAGTTAGCCGTTGTCCAAAACTTGTTTTTTATTCAAATTTTGGTCAACTTTTTTTTTAGGCGAAAGCTTGTAAAAATTAATTGTATATGTTTTTAGTTGCAATTCCAGACCACCCATTAAATTTCTTCTTCATTCATTAATTTCTTCTTCTTTTAAATTTAAATCCAATTTGCATACTATTTTTATGGGTAATAAACTGGTTTACACATGGAACACACACATACATAGTTATGGGTACATTTCAAAATTTTTTTAACATTTTTATTACTCTATGTGTAGTAAATTTTTATCTACCTTATTGTTAACACGTCTTATATTAGACAAAAATTTCCTTTCTTTTATTTTCTAATATTGAAGTTTTTACACCTATTATTAGAATCTTGGTTACACCTTAAACAATCGTTAATGAAGAAGAAAGTTTGTAAAATATTTTTAACCCTTTCTTTTCCCAATCGTAAATCAGTGGAAATAAAAATTTTTCAGTATTAATTATTATATGAAGCATTGAATTTGAAGCAAAAGATGACATATACCGCAGTATTTTAAACACAACTTAGAAAATTTAAAAAATTTACAGGTTCAGTTTCCGTATACTTGCATGTACGCACTAAACTTTGCTTGAACATCATAATTACGAGTATTCAAATATTAAATAAATTTGCATCCATTAATTTCTAATAATCTTGTAAATTATTTTGAAAACTGAAATGTGATTGAAACTCTTTCAAAAAAAAATCATAGTACTACCATACTCTAACACTCTAAATTTAGAGAAAACGTGAAAGCGAACAGAGGAAACAAAGGGTTAAAAGAAAATTAACTTCAAAGTACAATTTAACAAGCTCATTTGAAAGAAAAGTAAATGTCTATATATTTTTTAACACTATATTAGAAAATATTTTTATTTGAAATTTAAATAAATTTGACATTTTATTGGAATATTAATTTTCAAATAAAAGTAGGCGGTTTCAATAATAATGAAATAGAATGGCTTAATTGCTTTATTTTAAAAATACTTTAAAATTTATAATTTTTATTTGTTTTCAATTGCATTTTCAGTACATTAAAGACCTACCATACCCTTTCTTATAAACTAAAAATAAAATTTTAATTTATTGTTCATTTAGCCTAAATTCCGGTGTCGTTACAAATCTGTTTTACATATACATATTTACGTGTATGTAAGGCAGCCGTTAACAATAATTTAAAATACATATTTGAAGAATGTAACTAGAAAATCCAATACCATTTATGTAAGGAATGACTGTTATACTACAAGTAAGGCGGTATACTTCAGTAAGATGCATGTTACAAACAATAAATATTCAGCAAAAACTGGAATTTAATGTGCCGGTATTCATCTTTAAAATAAGAAATAGGAGTGCACTTGAATATTTACAGGACAGTTCATGCTTTGCAAGCGAAGTTCAAACATATAATTTGCGGAATATTCAATATAGGGTTCACCAAATTTAATAGTTTGCCTCCACATGTCAATCAAGTTAATCATAAAACATTGTATTGTTTTTATTAAAAATTCACAATAATTAAATGCAAATTTAATAATTGTGAATTTTGTTGAATTGAATGCTGCGAAATCAATATCAAATTCAAATTACATAGTTTTTTTTTAAAGAACTAATAAAGTACTTATTATTATCTATGTTTAATGCTTATAGTAAAAGAAAATATTTTTTATTACGAAACTTAAATTGCAACATTTGATAAATACATAAAAATAAATGCATTTAATTAAACCTACAGTAAGTGCAGAGCGTCACAGTAATAAAAAAATCTTGTATTCTTACATAAACTATTAAAGCAAATTTACATAACAATAACACTAATTAATTAATAATTAACTACTATTATTTAAATTTCATTGATCTTCTGATTTTTCTTATTTAATTCATAAAATTGATTAATTTAGCAATTAATCTTTTAGCACCTAAAAAATTTATTTTTAAAATTACTCAAATTTTTTTATATTCTCTGTAAATTGTAGGCATGAAGTAAGTTAAAAATAAATTTGAATTTTAACAAAAGTAATTGACCTAAATTTAATCAAATAAAATTTTTAATACACTTCGAAGCAGAGGAAGAGGGAGAGGGGGGGGGGGGGGGGGCTGAGTTCGTACAAGAAAAAATAAATTACCTTGAAGCCTATTCAAACCGAAGTAAATTGTAATTAGTGGATTAATTTAAGCTTTTTTTTTCCTTTACATCATTTGAAAGTGATAGATTTGACAGAATTATGTATGTACGTAGATTTTACAATGACATTGCAAAAATAAAAATCATATTTTTTTCTGTAATTTGTCTGCAATTTGATTTTAATTGTATTTGAATTTAAATATGCTCGGTTCGCATAAAATTTAATTACCATTCATAATGCATTTTCAAAAATAATTTTTTAATTCTTACTTGAAATATAAATTTCACTCACGTTCTATAATTCAATTCTATGATTTGCTAATTATATTATTTCAGTTGCTATAATTGAATTCCAACGCTGATTTTCTGTATTAAATTCGAAATTTTTCGCGATTTTCAAAAACAAATCTGATACATTCAGGTATATAAACTTATTTCTACATTACATAGATGTCTCTGGTGTATAATATTTTCAAACTTTTAATTTTAACACAACAAAAAGTTTAAAGTTTTTTCAAACCACATAGAAATATTAATAAAAACGCATACTTAGTCCGGAATAAATTATTTAAAAAAATAAAATTAAATAAATTAAAATTTAAAAATTTTCTTTAAATTATTCCTCCTCATATTTTTTTAATGGGAGGAAAATACCAAAATGAAAATTTTCTGAACTACAAAATAGGAAATAAAAATTTACAAATATTTTATTTTCGCACGTCCACTCCTCGATTGGCAAGCTTAACGATAATATATTTTTCCATGTCTAACATTTTTTACAAGTATATACATAGGTACGTATATATACACTAATCTTCTTCCATCTCTCTTATTCTCTCGTTCTTTGTAATACACGATTAAAATGATTTTATCGAATTTATTGTTTTAAATCTTTTATTTATTATACGCTTTACATTTTTATTGAATTTTCAATTGTTTCATGAAATCATTGAGTAATTGCTATTTATTTATGAAGTTTTTAAAATTGCTGTTAGTTATAGCTTTAATTGGAACAGTTATTTTTTTTTTAATTTGCATTTAATTCTCGTGATGACTAATAAAGCAATATTAAGCTGGTTGAACTGGTTATTAAAGCCCACCACATTAAATTTTTTTCTTATTAAATAATTTTTTTAATTATTAATTATTTGCTCAGTTTACCCTGTACTTTGTTATTTAACATATATATGTACATATTTTAATTTTCCCTTTAAAAAATATACTGGCAAAAGTTCGTGCCATTTAATTTACAGTTATATTGGTATTGTACTTTGATTATTCTGATTTAAAAATTGTTAATTAAAACAAATTTTTTGAATTGATCTACAAGTTCAAAGTCATTTTAAATGTTATATAACATTTATTATTGTCTTTAATTTTTTTATGTAGTAAATTTACTACATTTCATTAATGATATACATTAACTGATATTTTTTAATAAAACAATTCAAAAGTTGATTTTAGGGTAATGAAAACTATCTTCTTAACTCAATTTCAGGATTCGTTTTCTCGTTTACTTTCACTTAAAATTTTAAATAATTGACGAAATTTGTCATAGCTTCCACATGACTGGATTTAGCTTCTACTCCCCACAAAATTTGAAAATTTTGAATAATCAGAATATGAAACAAGGTACCTAAATCCATTCAGTTTCTTCTCACTCACGCTTTAATGAGGCAGAAAGATTTTAATTCGGAAGTCAAGATTTCCTAATAAATTATAGATCGTTCAAAAGGCTGTTCTTACCTTTACTGGTTATAATCTTCGCATTTTAAAGTGACTAAATAAATATTCGTCTGGTTTACAAAGGTCTAAATAAGTCCAAATAAAATGTCGGTATATATTCTCTGCTTGCAGTAAAACTACTACACTTCTAATTCAACTAGCAACACTATATTGAAAAAATCATAAACTAAATAGATTAAATTTTTCACTGCCTTCTTGGTATTGTTATTTTCCGGTTTATTATTAAAGTTTATATTAATTTCCGGATTTTATTTATCTCAATTTATATACAATATTTTTTTTTTTAATTAATTTGAAAGAACTTTTTCGGTGTTTCTTATAACAATTAAAAATAATAGGTTCAAATTAAAAAAAAAATCACATAAATACTTAAATTTCAAATAGATGGGGCAATCAATAAAATTATTTTGATGGTTATTTCTTGCATTGATCTGATACGATTATAATATTATTCAATTCTCTGTAGCGTATTTTTTGTTAAAAAAATTTCTATATTAAAAACCTATTGAAAAGTTCATTGCTGTTGTGTTACATGGAGGTCATTGTTTTTTAATTATTTAAGTATATCATAATATGTATAATAACTGTATTTAAAGATTTAAATTTTAGAGATATACTTATTGTTTTTTTTTTTTCAATAGAATTCTTGTAGCAGGAAATATAAGATTTTAATATAACAAAGCAATCGCTTGTATTGCTTATTAATTTACACAGCTTTTCGTCATCATGTTCAATATTAATTTATTTTGTTTATTTTTCTTTTTTCAGTTTATGCTAGTAGCGCAGACCTGAATATAGTCGATATTGATGGTGATGGCTCAATATTTAATGGTGATGAAAATCATAAAGTTTGGAATGGTTCACATGATCAATTAGATGGAATAGTAAATTTAGAAAGTCCTTATGAAGTTTTCTCAGGTAATTCATCAACTTTAGGAAGACCAGCTAGAGCAAGACAAATAAGTGCACCAATACCAGTACCACCACCACCAATGAAAGAAGAAACCAAAAAAAAAAAAGATAAAAAATCATCAAAATCTGGAAGCAGTCAAAGTTTATCAGGTACCTTAATACGCCCAAAACCAATACATGCAAATAGTTTACAACGACCTACTATGTTACATCATCATCATCATCATCCATCAATGGGCCCACCACCACCAGGTAGTGTTATATATGGTCCTATTGGTCCACATGCAGCAGCATCTGTTAGACAATATCACACATTTAGTCATAGGGGAATACCAAATGGTATGACACCGACACAACAACAAGGTCCACCACCACCACATCATCATCATCATCATCATCACCATCATCATCCAAATGGACCATCACAACCGCCACCACCACCACACATGATACAAACACCATTAGCAGCAATGCATCAATTACATCATTCACAAAATGGTCCAGTACCAATAATTATACCACAACAATATGCAACTTTACAACCTTCAAAATCGAATAAAAAGAAAAAAAGTAAAAATAAATCAAATGGAACAAATGGTAGCGGTGGTATACCAGTTGGTATGCCAATAATACCATCGATGTATGCACCATATCCAGGTGGACATCCACCACCACCACCAGCACTTAACGGTGGTCCAGGTTCAATGATTAGTGAATCAAGACCATTAGCAATGAGTAATCGAAAATTAGCACAGTCAGCTGGTAATGGTTTAGATGATTCTGGTAATTCTGGAGCTGAATCACCTGGTGGTACTGGTATTTATCGTAGAAAAGGACATTTAAATGAAAGAGCATTTAGTTATTCAATAAGACAAGAACATCGTAGTCGTAGTCATGGTTCATTAGCTAGTCTACAATTTAATCCACCTGATATGAAAAAAGAACGTGAAATTGCACAAATGGTTGCTGGATTAGATTTAAATGATGATTTATCAACAATGCAACATAGAAAAACTTCTGCTAGTTTACATCAAAACGGTAATATACCACAACAACAAATGAATGGTAACATTTATGGTCCAGTTAGTGGTAATTATGGCAAACCTAGAAGATAAAATATAAAAAAATTAAAAAAGGAAAGAAAAATTTAAAGTTGAGTTTAACATAGAAAAAACCAAGATTAAATTTAAAAGTTAAAAAAAGAAATCCAAAAAAAAAAAAAAAAATTAGAAGAAAAATTTTAAAAAATTAAATATACTTTTTTTAACTGTAACTGTAAAATACGATAAATCTAGCGCATGTCAAAAAAAAAACACACATAAATTCTGGGGTATTTTAAACTTCTTATGGTGAAGGGTTCTTAATTTTATGTTAAATATGTGCATGCTTTTCTCTTCAATTTACTATTGTATATAAATACAAACAAATTTTCATAAAAAATAAGATTGTTTTTACAAATTTAGAATTACATTGGCAACACTTAGTTAGAAATGATACATCTAACAGGCAGAAATTTTGTGTACATATGCATATATCAGTTCTCAAAGATTTACGTGCTGCCGCCTTTGTTTTGATTGAGTCACTGGCTACACCAAAATGAAATATGTATGGAAAGTCATACTAAGGAATTTTATTTAAGCGCAGTATAAGTAATATTATTCCCTGTATTCGCATTGAGAAGTTTAAATTTCAAATTCGAGAACTAATGTTCTTGAATTAATATGATTAATATCACCTGATGCAATAATTTAATAAATAGCAAATTTAACCTCAAACTCATTAATTTTATTCATCTCATATAATATTTCTTTAACAATACATATGTATGTACATGTACACTTCATACTACATACAAACGCATGCAAAGTACAGTTCATCATGCATTCTTATTAATAAAATATATTTAACATGTCAGCTATATTATAATATTTTCATCTATTCTTTTTTCGATCCGATCTTTCATTATCCGAAATTGTTTTATTTTTCACATAACTATTATATTTTTCATTATTTTTGTTATGTTATACATATAAATTTATCTATATATATAAAGAAGTATATATATATCATTTTTTTTCGTGTTGTTGTTATTTTACATTTATATTATACATATATATATATTCTTAAATAGTTAGTGTAATTTAAAAAAAAAAAAAAACATATTTTAGCGATTACTTGAAATTATAAAGAATTTGTAAAAAATTGAATTTTAGCCTAAGAATAAAAAAAAAATTGTTATAAAAATTTGGCATTCTAATTAATTTAAGCCGATAAATGCTTTTTAAATTTAGTTTAGAGTGGTCAAAAACGTAAAAAATATTTTAAAATTATAAAAATATGTACAATTTTAATTTTTACATTCCAAAGTAAAAAAACAAAATGGTGTATTTTCGGAAAATCAGTTTTAATTGCAGCGCCATGTAAAATTCTACAACACTGAATAATTTGTAATGATACCGCCTCTATAAATTTCATGGTGCACAAAAATGTTTTAAAATATCGAGTAATTAAAAAGAAATTAAAAAATTCAAAGTAGATTTAAACTGTCGATTCTATAGAATATAGATAATGAAAAATTTTTCAAACTACAAAATAAATCTATAAAGCTGCAATTATTATACGTACTATTAAAATTGCAATTAATTATATTATGTTATATACATAATATAGGTACACAAACGCAGACTGCGTTTTCGAAAATATCCATTTTGACAAATCTTTTAAGAAAAATAAAATTTTGTGTTCGATAAATTATAATTTTAAATAGAACTTGTATCGCATAATAAAGCTATTAATTAAATATTTATTCAATTTATGGGGGCGCAAAGCCTAAATAAAAGTAATTCATGGTATACTTGGAAAAATTCGTAAGAGATCTTTATTTATTCTTATACAATACAAGAATATTTTCAAATCCAGTCCAAAATTTTAAATAATATTTTATAAAATAAAGTATAAGGTTTCTACATACAAGAACCATATATTTTTTATATGAAAATCAAATTTGTTCATATAAAAATTTAATTTTGTTCCGGATATTTCGCTGGTACAACAAATTTTAAAACCAATTCAGGTTATAAATTTCTGAAATTATTTTCAAAATCATATTACTGCAATTATGAAACTCAAAGTACTTTAAATTATAATTTTTATACATATATGTACATATATGCGTACATAATCTAGTAACAAAAATAACAGTAAATATTAAAAACATAATCTGTTAAATATAATAAACTTTAATTTTTAACCAAAATCAAAGATTTAAGGTCAATTCTATTATAAATATATATTTTTAAATAATTATTTTATAATACGAAAAAAAAGTCATCATGCTATTATTAATTTAATTTTCAATTTTATATAATAATAAATTTTTTAAATAAATGTATAGATAAACTTAGTTTTTATGAAATTAAAATCATTATCTATATTATATTATTAAAAATTATTAGAAATTATTTATAATTTTTATGTAAAAATTAAAAAAAAAAAACAATAGAAAAAAAATGAAAGAAATTAATAGAAAGTAACAAAATATAAAAAATTTTATTCATGTGCCTTATTAGGATTTTTTTTTTATTTTCAAATATTTTAAAAAACTTTAATATATTAATATAGTAGATTTTAAGATAATAAATAAATATATAATAAATAAATAAGAAATAAGTTTCGATTTTAAAATAAAATTATTGAAAAATTTTTTAAAGACCACAAATTAAAAAAAAATTTAAAAAAATTTAAAAATAAAAAATATTCTTATAATTTTGCATCGACGGCAGCACTTACATGTGCAATCTACTCAATATTATTACAAAGTAAAATGTCAGTAATAATATAAAAATTGACTTTTAAAGTGAGCTTTATAGGCCGAAAATAACCTTTAGCCATAACATTTCAAGCGAAGTAAGCAAAATTTTTTGATAAGTAACGTTTATATGAACATAAAATAAGCTTCAAGTACGATTGAAGCTGCCATATAAACGGGGTAATTGAATTGATAAATAAAAAAAATTGGCAATGACAAATTGAAATGGGAAGAAAAATTAAATAATAGTCCTAAGAACAGTGCTTTATTATAATATATAAAATTATTAAGCTCACTTATTCAGAAAAAATGTTTAATAATATTTGCTTTAAAACTAAATAATTCGTAGCCGAATTTACTCTTATTAGAAATTATTTTATAATTCTTTTGGTAAATTTTATGCCACTACTGAAAATGTCATTGCGTATTTTTGGCCGAAAAATTTCAGAGAAATAAAATATCAAAATACTTGGCTCTTATACAAAAATATTTCAATTTCTCCCAAAATAATTAATGCGTACTAGACCTTATTTTCCTTAGAAAACATTTTTCAATTGATCTACATTCACACCCAAGTTCAATTTACTCTGATAAAATTCATTAGGAGATGGTTAAATTAATTTTAAGACAATTAAATAAATATTATTGATGCAAAAGAAAAGAAATATTATTTTTTTTTAAATATAAAATTTTTAGTTGATTTTTAAACAAAAATATTTTTAAATTTCTAATATTAACAGAAATTGTATAAAATAAAATAAAAAAAAAAATTAAAAATAAAAACTATTGTCCATACTAGATTTTAATTGAAAATTAAAAATAATATTAATTATTATACTCGAATAAAATGATTTTGTAAATGTAAAATTTATATAATAGCATATCCATAATATATATTAATGTATGTACATTTATATATAACTACAATGGTATATAAATATATGAATTTTTAATATTTGAAATAAACTATACATATTTACTTATATAAATTATACCAAAAAAAAATTTTGATATTTTATTTAAAAATGTTCCTATTTTAAGATACATAATATATATAACACTTCAAACGTATAGCACTTAATTAATTGTACATAGTGCATATGAGTGTACAATAAGTACTCTCACAGAAGAAGTTGAGGAAAGTAGTTACGCTCATTAATTCCGAGAGCTGATCCAACATTTTTATATGAAAATTAAAACTGCAATCCACAATAATTAAATTTAAGAGTTAATTTTTACCTGTTGTATAATAGAATTTCCAAGCAAAATAGCAATCATAAATTCTAGAGCTGTTAAGAATATTTGTCTAAGTGTTATATTTCTCTTATAAGTGTTATATTTCTTTAATTATTAAACTTATTCAGTGATCTGATAAACCGCTTTTCGAATTTATCTGAAATGGCAGAATTTACCGAATTTTACTATCATATTTTAACAAAGTGGAAACGTATTGATCATAAAATTATATGAAGATGATGTAGAACAAATATATTTATGCTATATAGGTAATTGGTAAGTACAAATTTTGCCTAATATAACACATAAAATCAGAAAAATTTGATAAAATTTACATTTATGGTATTTTCAGACATACACTTTAAAAGTTCTTCAATATTAAAAATTTTTCTATTAAACAACTCTTCTAGTTTATAATATTTTTGCAGTAGTTCCTATAAAAATTCATTTAGAACTATTTTGTCAGATTTTTGGCAGAAACAGTTTGGATTTATCGAACATGTTTTATATTAAGACCTAAATTAGTTATGGCGATTTTCGAATTGTCGAAAATCGCCATAAACAGTTTGATAATCACAAAAACTTTTTAGATTTTTAAGCTCCTTAAATTACAATGCATTTTATCTATTTATTATACTCTACATACAAGAGTTGCATAAAATTTTTTAAAATTATCATGAAAAAAAATGATTAATTCAAGAAAATAATTTGCATTTAATTTAATTAGAAGAAAAAAATTTGTCTGTCACTCTTCTTTAAAAATTAACCTGTAATGCAACCTTTATAAAATAAAACCGATTACTTTATATAACAAGTTCAACTAGTTGCGGATTTAGAAAAAAATAAGAAATATAAACAGTCTTAAAAATTAGTTTAAGAACTTGAAAATTTTTACCTACATCTATAACAATTTTCAGTGAGTTCATCTTTTTTTTTCTGTACAATTTTAATCGACTTTATAATTATTATTTTATATAAAAATATTTTCCCACAAAATCAAAATCATTTTTCATTTCTCTGCTCCTCTTCTCCTCCACATCCCTTTCAAAAATTTTTTTCCAAAAATAAATTTTCTTTATAATTTTCACCCATGTAACAAACTATACGAGTATAAGCATTTGGTAAAAATGCAATGCGAAAATAGAAAAAGATTATTTAAAAAAAAAACTCATATGTTAAGCAAATATACATTGAAACTTGCTCATGCCAATGTAGGTAAATAATATTGCATATATGTACATACTTATATACCCATAAATATAGCTTGAAAAATATTTTATTATGAAATAATTTTTCTTCAAAAAATTTATTTTCCTGTTACAAAATGCGCTTACACTAATCAAGATTTTCAGGTTTATTTTTTTTTTTTCTTTCATATATATACACACATAATTTACTAACATACATTATTTTGTATTATAAAATACATATATACGGACAAAGGTATGAATGTATGTTTATTTCTTATTAATTCTTTCATAATAAATTTAAAACTTG